CTGTCAGGGACAGGCTGAAATCGCAGGGCCCCAGTTCTGCGGCCTCTGTCGAACTTCAAGACAGCAGATTCCCGCAAGTTGGGCATGCCGAGCCCAGAAATAACGGCTACACCGTTACAAAACTGCTAGCAACCCTCCTCAACACTGGAGGGGTCTTAGTGGATTTCCCGGACCATAGTGCTTAAAAGCGCTTCAGTTCGGAAAGTCCCTCAACTGATATCAGTTCTCACGATTCCTCTTGTAAGGGAGCCGAATTCAATGCCTTTGAAACCTGCAAGCTACTGAAGCTTGCAAAGTGAAAGGATTCTTGAAAGGATTCTATGGCTTTAGTGCTTTCATCAAGCAGTGCGGTCACTAGCAGGGCGGTGTGTGTTTTTTGTCCGCTCTTCTCCAATCTTTCCACTTCCAGCAAATGCACTTTGTCGCTTTCTAAAAAAGCTCGCAGGTAGCTAAGTCTTGTTCTGACAAACAGCATCCTTTCCAGTCCTCAATCCTCAGGTCAAATGAATATAGTAGAGACAACGGCCTCGAGGGCCATGTGATCTGTATCTGTATGAGTATATAGTATTATGATGAAGTGGAGATGGCAAAACAAAACTCGTCTGGATTTGTTGAGAATGTGAAAAAAATCCTTAGCCTTAGCCATGTGTCCATCCGAAGCCTGTTGATGCTGCTCTCACCACCTCTATATGCTTGAGTCCTCTGGGTGCTGGTCGTCATGACATTTTGCTACACAAACAAGCAATCCGCCGGAGCCCCCAAGACCCTTCACCGCATGGTGTCAAAACATGGTGGAGCAAAACTTGATGCCACAAAGCTGCAGAATCTCTCTTCACCGCATCATATGCTTTAGCTGCTTCATCAGCATCCACAAGCATGGACTGCGCGATCTGCTGTCGCCAGTCCCATCGTTTCTGAGCTGGAACCTGCAGGTGATATCATGGACCTCCAATCATGTGATGTCCCTCTCAATTTCTTGTGCAAGGTCCAACATCATCTCTGATGCAAGTAGTGCAAATGAGTGTCAGATCAGTCTCTCTGCATTTTGCCAGCCTTCACAGAGGGAGAAATAGTCACAGAGCGTCCTTGGGTCGAGGAGTCATACTTCTTCCGCACCCTGCCATTGTCAGCGTACAGGATGTCAACAACAGCACCCACGCGCTTCGGCCAATGCCTCAGACACTAACCTATGGCTATGGCGTATGTCAGTGTACCTCACAAGCCTAAAATAGATTCAGAGACCCCAGCATAACATCAAAGAAAGCCACCTTGACCATGTCCCAGTCGTGGGGAGTGCTTCATCCCCAATAAAGTGGTTCGCTTACCTGCTGCCTTATAGTTGTAGGACTGTAGGAAAGCTTGAGGATACTTGCAAAGAGGGAAAAATTAAAAGATCCTGTGTCCAAGCCACTCAGCTGCCATACGCTGCAGGCAGCATAAACGGCGGTTGTCCAATGTATACCAGCTTTTCATCTCTCCGTTTCTGCTCGCAAAAATAGTCATCATTCATCCTGCATTCCTTGATGCAATGCACTGCAACAGGGGAGATCAACTTCTCCTCGTAGATGGGCATCACCACTAGTTGAGTCAAGCCTTTGCAGCTTCACCGTCGCACTGCGGCTCAAAAATTAAACCAGCATAGACCCCGAGTAGCAAAGTATTTGTGGGCAACACCCTGCAGCAGCACCATCACCGAGGCTCCAAAGTGCACATTGCCATAAGCATCTAGCAGCGGCAACCTGCAGTGGCACTGTGCAGTGGCTCCAGCACCCAGCCTCCAAATGTGCACATTGCCATCGGCATCTGGAAGCAGTGTCCTGCAGCGGCACCAGCACCCAAGGCTCCAAAGCACACACACCCATAGACATCGGGCAGCAACACCCTGGAGCATCACCCTGCAGCGGCACCAGCACACAAACTCCAACTCCAAAGCGTACAGCCATACACATCTGGCAGGAGCACCCTGCAGCGCTACCGGCACCTAGACTCCAAAGCGCACACAGGCATCTCTTCTTATACTTGAAATAAGAACCCCAATAGCTGCTCTCTGGGGAAAGAAGTTGGATACTTCGAACAAAAGACTGTCCAAGAGTCCAGACAAAAGGGCTGCCGAATTGATGAAAGCGTCGCTCGACGCCACACCCTCCGGGTGGATGTTATACCGCCTTCCGGGTGGTCAGAAGCCCCTGAACCTCTTGCACTTAGCCCTGAATGGCTGCGGAAGACAGGTTGAACCTTGACGTGTTGTTCACCTCACAGCCCTTACAGTAGTGCTCACCAAAAATGTCCCCTTCAACAACAGAAACTGGCAGTGGCATCTCTCAACCCCTGCCTCGAAATTTGACCGTAGAAGCTGAACTCCGGGTCCAAGGCAAGGCTTTCTAAGCCAAGACCCAAAACTCCATCAAACCTGATTCATACGAAACACAAACAAGAGAATCAACAAGAGCAGCTTCATCGAACGATTTATATTTTATAATCAATAAATTGAGGAAAACGATGGAAGGATGTCGCCAATCATAACTTTCTCAGCTCCAGTCTCAAACTGCTGAAATGGCTCGTCTGTCATTTCCGTGGCCTGCACCACTCGAACCTGTCCACGTACTCATAGTGTCTGCAAAATATCAACCAAGCAAGAGATGATGTGCCAAACTCCCCTGACCTGGAGGCAATCTGACGATTTCAAGCCTTCCTCCTCCTTTTGACCCTGGTGGTTGGTCAGGCACACTGCCTCGCGGAAAATCCCGTGGCCCTTGGCACATGGCCTTTCGACACCAAGTCCATCTGTGCCCTTTGCCTCTCGGGAGAACTCCCCAACCACCTCACCGGTACCATAGGCGATGGCAACCTGTCGAGTTGTGAGTTGTGAACAAATCTTCAAGAAAGCTTGCCTTGAAAAATAGGAAAAGAAGCAGCAATATTCTTGCTACGGGGATGGTTTTCCCCTTCACAAATAGAAAGTGCAGGGTATAGTCAGCTAAGGCCTTACAACCAATGTTCTTTCAGCTGGTCTCGAGGGGTAGTTGAGGTCACGATCCATTGAGCCAGGCGATTCACATATTGGGAATTACACCCAGCAATTGAAGTTGGAAGCTCACAAATGTCTGTTCTGCGTCCTTTGCGCTGCATTAGTCATGTGCAAAGATTTCAAGCCTGATCACGTTCGGAGTCTGCTGGGACTTCATTTCCATCGTGGTCGAGGTCAACTGCTGAGAGAGAAAGCTTGCGGTCCTTGCTCCAATCTTCGTTGCAGATTGAGAATACTCTTCAAAAGGCTGCAATATGCTTAGGCTCACACGTATGCAGAATGGTTCGAGCAGGCTGGCATCTGCAATGGCTAGAATTGTCTTGGAACTTGGAAACGTTGACTCGAAACAATTTCCTAACAATTCCTTCCACATTAGAGGCATAAAGCTGTACGAGGCTTCCCACACCGAAGCTTCAACTCACAGAAGCTCTTAGTCTTAGTAGTTACCCTTTCCTACGCGTGCCTCACATTTCTTTGAAGGGATGATGAAGTGCCCAGATCCAGTGTCGAAGACTACCTCAACAGCATCCAGCATCTCACAGTGACAGGATCATCCAACTCACTGCAGCTAGGCCGCAGTAAACTTCTGCTGGTTGGGCAGGCCTACAAAAATGTCTCCAAAATATGCAGTCTTGTACCTGCACTCGATTGGGAACCAAGTCTTAGCCCTTGGCTGCTGAAAAAGCGCTGGTGCTACAAGTAACTCGTGTAACGTTCAGAAGCGACGGGCACATGACGGTTCTGTTATTTCTCAGAACAGGCACGTACTGCTTGTCTAGGATGATCTTGACCTTGCGGCGATGAACGATGCCCCTCCAGAAGCTGCCTATCATAACATCCAGGGGAAGAACTGCTGGCGCCGCTGGCACATCGTGCTCAAGGGGTTCCAGACTCTGTTGATGCGCCTGGCAACTCACTCAACAACGCATCCAGGGGTTGCATCCAAAAGCACTTGACTTGGTCAAGGAAAACGTTTCAGGCCCTGCGCTGTGGCCTTTATGTCCAGCAGCAAAGGCCTGTCCGATCTACTCCTCTACACTCGGCATGTCACCAAATTTGCTGCATGTATATATATATATATATAAATAAACAACCAGTGACCTAAGTCTATACACCACGTTAAAAATAGTCGCAACAACAGTAGTGAATGCATCTATATAATGCAAACAGTGCGTTCCAATAGTCAACCCCAGCTGTAACTGGCTCAAAAACAATGGAGTTTTGCGAAGTCTTATCTTTTTCTCAACATGTTTGACCTGGCCATGCATCAATTTGACTACTGTACTGTACAAAGATTGGGCCTTGCCAAACCTGCAGAAGGCACGGCCTAAACATCATCTTGCCGTTGTTGCAGCTGGATTCCGATGACGGGTGTCTCTTGCTGGGCACCCCACGAAGTAGAGAATCGAAAAGAGACCTAGTAGAGCCTCGGCCAAAGTAGTGTTCAGTTTCTTTCTCAAACTTCTACAAATCAAGCCATCCGGTTTCACACATCGTTTCGCGCGACCTTTGCAGGCAGATCTGAGCCAAGACTGGTACAAGTTGGGTGATCGCTCTCGGCCACATGATACGACTCAGTAGACCAAGCAAGCTGCACTGCAAAAGAATCAGGAAGGTCAAACGGTCACGACTAGGAAGAACAGGACAAAGTGTGCACAGTGAGTTTCAATCAAGCTAACTAAAGCCGATACGAAAGCTCTGGCTGAGACCGCTGCAGGGTTGTTCGATATCGGGGTATGGAGGTGTGGCCAATACTTTGAGCCACACCAGCAGACATGCTGCCATGCTTCTGCAGGACGCTTCTCACTGATTCTTGTTTACACAAAAGTTCAAGAACGAAGGCACAACTCATGACCCCTTCAAAACCTTGATCAGAGTCAACACTCAAAGGACACCCCTTCGGAAAAGGCCAAAACAAGCTCGCAAAGTCACATCCGCTGAATCCACTGACATAAACTGGTCAGACCACTGCCTCGTTCATTGGCCTGACGAAGCTTTCGATTGACACTGACTGTGGAATGTTCGCAGGCAACTCGGGCTCCAGCTTCACGAGGCTTTCGCCAAAGGTACTTCAGTTGATTTCGGAAGCCCTGACATACAAATCAGATCTTTATATAGAACTTTAGACCAATGTCCTGAAGGTTGGTAGCAGCTTGACGGTCCCTGGCAGCTCAGCCACCGAACACTTCGAACCGTGCCCCACCTTGCGAGTCTGAGAGATCTGCGCCTGAACCGATGAATTGATGCAATTGTCATAGAATTGCGTGAATCTCATGTTCATTTGCCCTTACTACTAGGAGCGGCGAACCTCCAGCTGCTGCAGTTGCTTCTCCATCCACGGCACGGCACTCCTCACGACGACTTCCGCAACAACCTGCATGCTCGGTAGAACAAAATGCTTCAAATAGGTTATGAATGGCACAAAAAACAACAAAAAACGCATCCAACAATATTCAACAGAGACGAAGTTCCATGGAGAGAAGGATGAACAAGTGAAATTCCAAAGCCTGCGCCACGGACTTCACGTCATCTGAAGACAGTCTGCTTCCTGGAGACGCGGCGCAGGCCGCGCCCTCATTTGGAGCCTTCGAGCAAACTAAGCTCAAAGGATGTGAGTGATCACCTGATGGTTCAAAAATACTAGTGCAAAATGATCCGATAGTCAAGCTGCGTCTGGTAGCAAATCAATAAGCTCTGCAATGTCCAAACTGTACGCTAAGGATCATGCGGGTGGCGGTGGAGGCGCATGACGGTTGGAAGAAAAGTTTCGAAAAAGCTCCTCAGTCACCGAACTGTGTCACATCAATTCTTTGTGCAAAATCTGTGAAGGACTTGATGGACGCATCGATGTTCCCGGGTCCTCTATCTCTGGCTCCACTTCGGCCTGAGATATGCAGGCCATTCACCACTGTCAAACCAACACCGTTTCAATCCTTCGCAGGATGTCCTGAGACATTGACGGAACCACGGTTGATCTGCAGTACATAGACTTGATTCGGAGCAAAGCGAGTCTTGAGATCTGTCAGTTTCTGGGTGAGTTCATCTTCATTTGGACTTTCTGGATCAGAGACGTCGTGCAAAAGAACTGCAACTCTTGATGGGACGGGATCCAGAATTCCCTGAGTACATAGTGGCGGCATGTTGGAAGCATGCAGCAGTTGCTCCAAAAGCATGGCAGGTTCTGCTTCTTTGGACATGACCACTAGCATTGCTGCTGTAGGTTGATCTAAGCCTTCGTGGTCTGACCAACGCAAAGATCTAAACAAGGCACTGCGCCATTGCTCATACCAAGGGCTGGGTGGTTCTAAAGCCTTTTGGCGTGAAGCGTTTTCAAGCGCGCTGGACTCCACGGTCCAAGCAGCTAGCTGATCAGCTTGGAGTGCACTGAGCTGCAGAGCCGCGTCTGCATCTGTGAAATGAACTCGGAGGTTGTCGATGGTGATCTGCCGCTCCAAAGATTGGACTGACACAGAGATTCCGTATTGAGAATGTCCACCGAACGGAGCAAAAAGTTCAGCCAAAGACAGGCCATTCACCTCTTTGACACGAGTTTTTGCTTGCGCAGTGCCAATCACCACGATGACAGGTTGGAAGACTTCGCTGTGAAGCCACTCGGCATACTTCCGCGGCTCAAACATGGCAACACATCACTCATAACTTGAGTTTCGTACTGCAACAAAAACCTAAAGTTCTGTTTAGATCCACATGCACTCAACAGTGCATAACTGCAAAACAACATGTAACATGCATGGAACCCAAGAACGCTTTCTGGCCATGTCGCAGCTAAAATGAAGGCTTGATTGCAAGTTACGTTCAACGCAAAGTTCTGCACAAATTGCCTCCAGCAGAACGACCCAATTGTTTTCCCATATTTTAAAGCTGACTTAGACAGATGAAAGAGTTGTTCCATACACGCCAAGTTCAATTCCCCTCGCTCTCGTTTTTTGCACACTTTGGCCGGCCGGATCCAAACATTGGTTTGGCACACAGGTCTTCCAACATGTACAGGCATCAAGAAACCACGAAGGCAGACCTGCCACGCAAATCACACAAAACTACACTGAGCTCTGGTGCGTTGGATGGCTGGTCTGGCTTCGCATCTCCCCAGCGCTTATTGTTGCACTATATACCAAGAATGTCTGGGGTCCTACTCTTCCTTCCCCTCTTGTGCTGGGGGCTGGTGTGTAAACAGCTTGCCCCAACTCCAGATCCATGTCGGATCTAAAATAAGAAAACATCCCCCCCTCCCAGAAAAGAATCTCGTAGTAGCAGCAGCAGTAGCAGTAGGATAGTAGTAGTAGTAGTAGTCGTAGTGGAAGTGGAAGTGGAAGTGGAAGTGGAAGTGGAAATAGTAGTAGTAGTAGTAGTAGTAGTAATAGTAGTAGTAGTAATAGTAGTAGTAGTAGTAGTAGGAGCAGGAGTAGGAGTAGGAGGAGGAGCAGCAGCAGTAGTTATTTATGCTGTAGGCCCTGTATTTTATTATCTGGGGATTTAATTTATAAAAGGATAAGGAAATTATAAAAGATATAGCCACAATAGAAAAATGGTATTAGCCAAGATTGTAAGGTACATGAAGGGATTTTAAGAAGAGAATAATATGAAAGAAATGGAATTAGATTAACCGTGTATTTTCACCTCCAAAAGTTAATGATGATAGAAATAAAAAAAGAAAAGAAAATAAAAGAGGAGGACCAAAATAATGGCGCCCATACGATAATATATGATGTAACCCATGACCGTCAATCTATTATGAGTTAAAGATTGACTCAGCATTTAATTTAAAATGAAATATAAGCTGTAAATTAAAGGATAGAGAAATTTCCTATCAAATTTCATGAAAGATATGGCAGTTAATGGATTTTACAGATAACCGTCTATTACAAAGAGTTATTGACCATTAACTGCCAAGGAACAAATCATCCAAGAAGCATTCTATCTTTCATGGTATTTTCTAGAACTACAAAAATAGAATGCCCACAATGTATATATTTTTATTTGGTGGTTCTTGGATGATGGGGATGAATTTTGTTAATTCTTTCTTTCATACGCTGGGACGGACCAACCTAATAAAATGCATCCCTTGTTTTTACTTATTGGCTTTTAAATTAATGGTAATCTCTTTTTATAACGTAAAAGCCATTATTCTATTATTATAAGGATGACAGCCACCATAAGTTATTTTAAATTAATAGGCTGTCATCCGTCTATTTACTATTAATCGCCACCGGCATTTTTGTATCTATTACTATATCTTTGCCGGTGGCATCAATCATTATTATTGGTCTTGCAATGTTCTTAAGAGATCATTTATATGAATTGCAAGACCATATATCTCTTGTTTTGATATATTTACAGCCAATATTTTCTTTAAAGAAAATGGCTGATACAAACTTTCATTCACATTAGTTTGTAGGTCAACGGCTAGTTGAATTATATTGTTGTAATCTTAATGTGGCCTTATGCTGTTTGATTTATCTTCTGTTTTATTAGATCATAAGGCCACATATATTTATATCTATTTTCTTTATCTATGAGCAAAACCCACGGGAAGGATCCTACCGGTCAACCTATATTTTTAAGGTGGAATTTGCATATTATTCATATTTATATTTCATCTTTTAAAATGTATTATTCATATTTGTAATTCATCTTTTAATAAGTTTGCACCCCAAAAATTAAGATGATAGAAAATATTAAAAACCATGGGGTGCCATCATAAAGATATTCATATATAATGGCTATAAATTGTAATAAGTAATTCTCCAAAAATTTATAGCCATTCAATATGAGATCTTTTAGCCTAGCCTATGGCCCAGCAATTTATTTTAAATTAGAAATTGCTGTCATGATTATAGATTACAAAGAAGATTATGGATGCTTAATTTAAGTAAAAATAAGAGAAAAGAAGATACAAATAAAAGCCTGGCCGTTGATAATAGAAATGAAAGATAGGAAATAGATTGCCGATGGACTGCCTTTCTCTTATTTTTAACCCTTAGAAGCGATCCGTGAGCTGGGTTAATAGCGTCCATCGGCAGTTTCTACCTCATGGTCTCTTCTCCAATCCTCTCCACCCGCCCCAGATCCAAGAAGGGGCCCAACGAATCCCAGGCGAGCCACTGTGCCCCATCGGTTAACCCTTGATTTGTGGCTCGCGATCAATCGTGTTTTCCCACTGTACGAAAAGGACCGACCATCATTAATTTATATTTACCTTTCTTTTCTTTTCATATTTAAGTTAATGATGGTAACGACTAATGATGGATTCCAGAAGTAATTTTAAACCCCGGGTTCCAAGATCTACTGCAAAATAGAATAACCCATGAATCCTGGAACTTGGAACCCGAGATCATAGTCCTTACGGTTGCTCCTACAATATATATTTTAGTTGCATTAAGAAATGTCATGAGCAAATAAATGATGCGTGTCTGGGGCACCAAGCCTTTCAATCTTTGGAGACACCATGACCACTGTTGATGATTGAAAGGCTTGGATGTGTAAGGGGGCCCCAGATCCAAGAAGGGGCCCAAGGAATCCCAGGCGAGCCACTGTGCCCCATCAATCTCATCCTCGTCTTTCATGTTATGAGATTCATGGTGTACCCGAGATCATAAGACTATTCACCAAAATTAATATAGTCTTTACTTATTTACACTTAATTTTGGTGAATTATTCACTTCTTTTCATACTTATAATACAATGATTGGGAATTTAATGTTTGGTTTCCCAAAGTCAATTGCTAGTAGGAGCAGCAAACCAACAGAAAAATAAGCTCACATGTTTGTCCTAGGGCTCCAAGTTTACAAATTAATTCAACCCCTAAACAATCAATATGTTATGTGTCACTTTTCCTGGGCTTGTGTTCTACCCCCTTGAAAAATTGTTTGGAGCAATGAATTGATGAGTTTTTATAAGGGTTTTTGAAAAAGGTTTCAGGTCCTGAGTTCAATGAATCAAGCAAACTTCAGAAGGATTAAGCAAGGATCTTCGAGGACGGCATTAGCAGAACAATGGAAAAGTAAACAAGTCTTGAAAAACGTCCTGGGAGAAAGAGCTTTTTATTGTTCCCACCCACTAAACTATTCAGGGTGTGGGAATATACAAATGTGCGAAAACTGTTTGCTATTCCCTGCCTCAAGACTTGACCAGGAGGCCAGACTAAAGTCCGTTTGCCTGCAAATCAGTTTGCAAGTATGTTCTCTGATGCTGTATTTTGATGCCTCTATCTATCTCTCTCTCTCTCTCTGTCTCTCTGTCTGTCTCTCTAAGCAGGAATGCAACTTTTCTGCAATGTGCTCAAGTCAGGAGCAGCTGGTCGCAAACCGACCTCTGCTGGCAAGTCTCCAGGTATGACATACACAAGTCATGTCTCCAATAAGGGCCCAGCTTCAGCTGTAATCATAAAAGCCACGCTTGGTCTTTTTGCCAAGCCATCCAGCTTCCTGGACTTGCAAAAAGGTCTTGTGAGTCAGGTTGCCAAGGAGTGTCACTGTCATCAAAGCCACATCTGGCCAAGCCGCCACGTAGTTCACCAGCAACGGTGCAGGACGGTACTTTGAGTCACCCAAGTCTCGGTGCAGCACCTCAACCGGTTCATTCAAAACCACGGTTGTTTCAATTAAATAGACCAGAAGTGGATTCAGACCGGGATTCGCGCCCAAAACAGTCCAAAACAGCAAGTGATGAAAAACCCAAGCCATCTCTAGCGAGAAGCAATTGCGCCCACCTCCCCAAATCCTCCCATCACGCCTTCATGATGCTGAGGCAAGTGTCCAGGCCAATGAAGTCCTCAAATGTCAAAGAAAAAGGGAGTCGTGGCCAGTGCCAATTGGAGAAGGGAATACAGTGCTGTTGGAAGCCAAGCGACGGCAAGTGTCAAAGGACCCATCGGGACATTCGTTCCCAGTTTGAGAGTCTTGTCAATGTCCTTCAAATCTCTCAATAGTGTCCAATCAATGCAAGGAAAAAGAAGTAGAGTGCCAAGTACTCTCATATTTCAGCTGCAAATGTTGTCCCATCATCATGGTCGTGGTCAGGCATGTCCTCTGCAGTTCCAACTCCGTCTTGCAGCGCGAACACGGCCTTTCAATACTAGTCATCAGCAATTCTAGTTGCAAACTGAGTGAAATCAAGCGCCTCATTTATGTAAGGCATCAGAATTCGATTCGCGATGAAGCCAGGCCGATCTTCACTGGTTGAATGCTCCTGGAACAAGTCAAGAGTCTTGAATGGGAAGTGTGAAGCAAACCTGATGATTGCAGGCTGCAGTAATCAATAAACCCAAACAGCGTGTCCCCTTCAATCCTGGAACGGAAGACGTAAATAAGAGGCATTATATAGACAGCCAGTGTGGTCTCCTTCTTCATTGCTGTACAGAGCTGCAACGTGAGTTGCAACGTTGCATCATCTGTTCGTAAACCTCTGATGACTTCCACCAATGGCATGACCGGGACCGGATTCCTGAGGCCAAACGCACGAAGCATGCTGTTACTAATAACATTCGAGCACCGCTTCAGAACAATATGAGCGCCCAACATGAAGTGCATACCTTAGTTCGGTGCCCAAGGACTTCATGGAGGAGCCTTTCATGTTCATCCCAGCACTGCAATGTCCTCCAAGCGGCCGATCATCCGCTCTGGCCTGGAGATGTTCGAGGCCAACTTGGTGATCGATATTGAGGATGTATTGGTCGCAAGCACACTTTCCTCCGGGAGGCCTGAAGCCTTCGGGCAAAAGTCTTTGGCTCAAGAATGCAAAACGTGCCAAACAACGGCTTCTGTGCCTGGAGGGTCTCATAGCATGATTGCTTGACATTCAGGTCCTCACTCACTGCCTGAAATCTCTCTCTTGAGGTTCACAACAAACGGCCAACCGCGGGCAAAAACAAAATGAGATAATATAAGAAGAAAATTCCAACATGGATTTCCTCGGCCCACATCAGCGCCTCAATCACAAAGTCCACCTGCGGAATGGTGGTTCTCAGAAAGCCTCCATCATTCAAATCACCAAACTTGATCTGCTTCAAGAAAGCTTCCACCTTCACGGCCACAAAAAACAAGGGACGAGGCTGAATGAAACCACAAATGCGAACACTTTGATATCCAAGCTGCAAGCTATTTCATTGCTCCACAAAGCCTGGCCTCTGCTTCAGACATTCGACCCTTCTTTGCCTGAAAGTTGAGCTCTTCCAAAGAAGTCACAGTCACAGAAAGTACTATATTACATTATACCAGTATTGTAGACCGTGTATGTATATATATATATGTATATGATTGTTGTTGAATGCTCTCGATTCTCTTCAGTATCCTCGTGAAATTGAGTAGCCCTTGCTGAGAAGCTTGGTGAGCAGGCACTTGTCACTTGTAGCTGGTATATATTTGTCCCAAACCACCTGCGATTCCTCTTGACATTAACCACCATTGGTGCCGAACCTCCTTGGCTGCCCAATCCTTCACGAAGGCTTTGCTGCGATCCAGGCTTTGAGGATAGGCGTCCAATCCAAGGACTTCTACTTGCGCATGTCGTGCCTTAACAAAGACAACACCAAAAACCCTGGCGCCCCTCCAAGCTCACGTGAACTTGACGGCTCTACACCGTCCAGTTGCGTTAGGTTACAGCCACTATAGCAATGCCGGTGCCCATCCTGAGCTCGTCTGCAGTGACAAAGTCTGCCTTGATGGACGCAGTGCCATCTCTGAGGCAAGGACTGCCCACAACCAACCACTGCTACACGCTTCACAGGAAGGGCGGTGGTTGTTGCCCATCGGACGGAACCACCAAGCAGCTGCAGGGGCTGCACCCTTCTCATCCCCATTGCAAAAGGTAGTGAAGAAGACATGAATCGCAGACTTGCTTGAACCTGTGAAACATGTATCAAACCTGCCCTTTTGGAAAACAAGTGCTTGCACCGTAAAGCTGCTGTCTACTGTGGATCTCGTCGCAAGCATCTTGCAAGCCCAAAGGCTCGTGACACATTTACATGCATGCACAATCCACAAGTTTCCTGGGTAGAACAAACAGCCTTTGAAAAGCTCCCGGTCTTGAACCAAAAAATGGCCCCATGTACTTCAGCACTCGCTTCCTGGCCCCGCTTCCGGAAGAAGCGGACAGCTTAGGCCTCTTTTTTCTCGAATGCAAACTTTATCAATTTGTCGGCCTTGGAAGCCTTAGAGTGTGCACATTCAAGCGTCTGTTGGACAAATGTTTTTTGAACATGTTTCATGACAGCAGGAAGCTGCGTTAGTGCAATCTATTTGACCTGACTGAGTGAAGCTGCAGCCAGGCAACCTTGACCATTTTCGTGCGTGAAGGATTGTCTCAGAATCGTCTCCTTGTCAAAACTGGACTGAAGCGGTTCTCGTTTTAAGCAAAGATAAACAAAGGCCACTTGAAGGGTCCTCCCAAGGATCCCAGCAACCGCAGCGCGCTCACAATGGAGGCACTGTACGGACCGGATGATGATGCAAGTCTGCACACCTGAACAACGAAAAGTGTTGCAGGAGTATGCAGGAATGGATAGACAGCATTTTGCTATCGCAGGAACATCGATGCGAAAAGTAACCACAAGGAATAAATTTGTGTCGTGCGAAAGGTGGGAGCCTGGACCGCACAGTTCAGCAATGGATACCATTGCGAGCGCAGGATCATGCATTAGACCATGCATTCATGTCCAAAACATGGCCTGCTGCCATGGGATCAACAACACAAATGGAAGGTATTGCAAAACATAATACATAATGTTCGGACGATTTTAACCAAATGCTACTCCTACAACATCCAATGAGATTCCAGATCGCGGAGACATGAACCACCAACGGGTTGGTGAAGTTGAAACTAGCTTTGTGATGGATGCCATCTCACGATATCACAAAAGTCACAAATTCATCAAGTTCTGACAGCCCTAAATGACTGACATTCACTGCTCGTGTAACTCCACTCAGCTCACCTGTTTGTTCAGAAATCAATATCCTCTCGATCCAAGCAAGACTGAAAGATTTGATCTCTCAGGTTTGGCACTGGCTTGACTGTGTTAGCTGTGGGTGAGACAGTTGGACTGTGAGATTCCCACCATTTGTGCTTCTCACGTCCACCTGGGCGAGTGGCAAACTGGGCGAGTCACATCAGGTCTACCGGTGTACCAAGTCGTTCAGCCAAAGAACGCCCGCAAATCGGACTCTTCACAATTCTTTGTAATGTACGTACCATCTTCGGCTGAACCTCAAAGCAACAGTCACAGGACCAATCAAGAGCACTTGCATCGATCCACTGAGTGCAGCACCGAGGTACACAGTGTAAAGTGGCCCCAAGGCTGTGAGGAACACCTGTACACTGACAAACTCAATTGCAGGAACACCTGTTTGAGACACGTGAATTCATATAAAACATGTTTGGCCTCTAATATGTAGCATCCAGATTCCTCAAACATTGAAAACTGAAGTCTGCTGGACTGGACATGAGTCATTCATGGCCTCGCCACTGGAACGGGTCACTATAGCATTCTGTCCTAGCAAAAAAATACATTGTTCCATTTTGCAGCAGAACGCCGGCAGAACGCAACAAAGCTCGGCAAAGTTCAATGACACAAAAATGAGTGCCTGCAGCAAATGTGGCAGGTGGAAAGGAAAAACCTTCGAATTCTTCTGTCGGAGGTGGAGGCACAGCCATCACAACCTTGGAAACATTTCACGAGTGACCAATTCTTATCGTTGCAGTTGAATTTGAGTACGAGTTAAATTAAAACTGTGAGTCACTCACCCCTGCCGCGTTCAGCTCTTCTTGCCGAGCCTTGGATAAAATGATTGCAACCCACGTTCTGAAATGTCTGGAAACTTGGGACAACACCGCGGCAATGGCTGCTCCTTCCTCCAATCGCAAACGGTCATCTTCATGCATTGCAATGCTTTCAGTTCCTCAGCTCAAGCATCTCAACTGCGATTTCATGGTGTATTCTCCTGAAATTGACCCAGAATCCCAAGTCATCTTGATGTTCTTCCAACGGGAAGTACCTGCCGTGTCCAACGTCACGCTCTTTCTGTTGACAGCTTGGTGGGCGCACGCAAAGGACACCACCATCCCTGCAGAAACACCATCTGGACAAGTCAGTTGGAGCACCTCGAAGCAACAAAGTCTTTCAGCAACTGCGGTTAATAGTATTTCCCCCAATGACCTGTGGAACCAAATATAAGGAGGGTTGGAACTTGGAATTTCAATTAATTTCAATCGCACCTGTCCATCCGGCGTGCTGACGTTGAAGTTTAGTCCTGCAGATGTGGAAGAGATCCTTAGACATAATGTCCGGGAAACCCTGCACTTTCTGCTTGATCAATCTTGCCTGGACCAACACCTTCAGGGACCTCAACCTTAGGAAAACATTTTGCCAAACACAGACTGAGACATATGCCCTGAAATTCGTATCCAAACCCCAGCCTGCAAGGTTACAGGTTCTCCCTGCTCTGCCATTTTCACCAGATAATATACATGCCGTCTGCAATTGTTCTTGGGTTCGCCGGTTATTTTGCATGTTAAGAAATGAAACTGACACCAAAACACCCCTGCATCCTCGAAAAGAACCCGGTCACTGCATCAAGGTTGTTCACCTGCAAAGTATTATTATTGAAAATATTTGCCAATGCTGGAACCAAAGTGGCAGCACCAGTCGTATTCAAAACAAGCACCATGATGAATTTTGATGAACCTTGTCAAGGTACTACTTTGGCATTTGTGAGTCTCAGACACATATCTTTGTGGAAGTGAAAGTTAATGTCGACGGTGACGATGCAAACTGAGTCGTCAACTCTTTGGCACGCCAACACGAAGATAAATGCAAACACACCTACGAGCAGTGGCTGCAAGTCTGTTTGGTAGCACGTTTGTTTTGAACCTCGCGTTTCGGTCGCACTGATAAGTACAAATACTACACAAGTAGATCAAGTTCCCTATACAAACTGTCAAGTGTACACCTCTGCATACATGTCAAAATAAAGTAACACCCAGCCTTGATGCGAAACGATTTAGTTCACGCATCACTTTCTTTGTACACTTTTTGATTTGTGCGAGATCTACCACTTCAAGGTAGCACTGACAAGGTCTCTCACACATATACATTCATGTACAGTATCTCTGATACATCCCGTTCCGACATTTGGAATGTAATTCCCATGAAAAATTTTCGCAAATTCTGTCACCTGGACACCTGGTTCAGCTGGTTTCACGCATCCATCAATGCTCACAAACCTGTAAGCTTGCCTTGCAAATAAATTCGATCGTGGTTCCAGTCAATGTCGTATTGTAGCTTCGAAGTACCACCATAGGCCATAGGCAGAGAATCCTTCAGATGCAGTTGGCAATTTTGGGAGAGAATCACAGGGACGGTGTTCGAAGACGAGCTCATATGATGTGTCGGGGAATGACAGATTTATCGCCCGACAGTGGGACTGATCCAGGTCCAGAGGTCCAAGAAGAAGAAGAAGAGCCTGAAGGTGAAGGTGGTGAAGGTGAAAGCAAAGAGACATGCATCTATACATCGGGAACAGATATGGGCAGTCAGATGGCACAGCATGTTGATGAGCAGGATGGATATTTCACTTCGAGCACGTTGCCAGGCAGAAGTTTACAAACAAATACAGCACAAACAACACAGTCTGGTGAGCATGAACCGGAGAGTGATCATGACAGTGGAGATGGAGAAACAACATCTCAGATGAGGCGCAGATACCCACAATCCGGTTTGGATGAGGTGAGTGATCCCGAGTACTGGCAACAGCTACACCATTTTGACAGCGAACCAGAGTCAGATGGTAGCAACATACAGATCATTGATTTCAGTGTCAATATGAATGTGGAATGCATGTTTTGTTGGAGTGTTATATGAAACCATCTGAGCCATAGACACTCAGTGTTTGTGTGTACCGTGAAACCAGCTGAGTCGACCTAGCGCCCTGAGACCAAACGTTGTGAACCCATTCTTGGTGTTTTGTGGTCTGTCTCAAATTTGGATAGAGGAAAGAAGGGTGGGCAGATGTTGAGCGAAGGTTTGGCGCCGTGGAGCCTGTCATGTTTGCTCGTTCACTGTGGCAAGGAAACCTTGTTTCGTTTCATTTGACGTCGTTGTTTGATGCATGTTGTGAAGGATGGGTTTTGAAAAGATATTGTTGAGGTTTTGAGCTCGCGTCCTTGATGTTTGTTGCAAGCTACGCCAGCTTCCGCGCGGTTCCCGGTTCCATCTTGGCGTCAACGTTCAAATTTTCCCTTGCAACGCACTGGGGTTTTGCGGTTACAATCAAGCTCTGGGTTGGGTCTGGACCGTCTACTACAATGCGCGGTATTTTTTTTTGCACGAGTCGAGGCGCTATGTGTGCAGGTTCTGCACAAGTCACCTTTGCCAAGTTAAGAAGGAGTTACAATGCAGGTCGCAATCCAAAAGGAGAAAACAACACCAGAAACCAAAAAAACAACACAGAACCAACCACTGCAATGCGCGGTACCACCTCGGTGCCACTTCATCACGGCTCGGGCCCTTCATTGCAATGCGCGGTATCGTTTTTGTTTGGTTGTTTGGTTGGGTTTGTTCGGTGGTGCCTTGCTCTGATGCTTGGCTCGTATCTCCTCAGTGTCCCTATTCAATTCAATCAAGGTGACTTGTGCCTCTCAGCACACATAGCGCCTCCACCCGTGCAAAAAAAACATTACAATGCGCGGTACTGCCTCGGTACTGCTCGGGCCCTCTATTACAATGCGCGGCAAGGCCTCGGCACCGCTCGGGCCCTCCATTACAATGCACGGACCGCCTTGCCGCTCGGGCCCCTCCATTACAATGCGCGGCGCCGCCTCGGTACCGCCTCGGTACCGCTCGGGCCCTTTTTTCAATGCGCGGTACCGACACCCCGTTTGCGTTTTACAACGTTTCAATTGGATCGGAGTGAGGAACCACACAAAGACCACCACGAAACGCAACCTTAACATTGTAGTCCCGGCGCTTCTTCAAACAGGGCGCTCCACACTTGAGCCAAGGCATTCCAAGTGTGCTTCGCGCTCAACCATTCTTAACAAACGCTTGGGCGTGGGCTTGGCCATTCGTGTCCAAAGATGAATTGCGTTTTCTGTGGAATTTGTGGCCTTCATTTTTGGGGTCCAAAACCCTGGCAAAACCGGTCTCGCCATGGAGGACCTCCCCAGCTGAACTTGAACTGTGAAGTTCAACTGGCAAGACCCACTTTGGCAACCCCGGAATCCATTACGTTTTTGGTCCTTAATTTTGGGGCCGCCAATGGACAAGATTTTCGCTTGCGTCGCGACCCGGTTGTTCTGGCATGGTGACGATAACGCCCAGTGTTTTGGTTGGTGGGTTGCTTGTCGTTTGTTGGTTTGGGTGAACGTGAAGGTTGGCTTTGCGCAAGTCTGTTGGATGTTGTTTGTTCTTGGTTGTACTGAGGGGGTACTCTGGTTGGTCTAAAGAATTGCAAGTTATTTTGGGGCCAGAAACGGTGTCAACAAAACTTCTACCAATCATGAAATTCCCATGCCCACACCCAAAATTGACATCTTCGTAACCACTCCTCCGCTCCTCCGCTGAAATTCTACTCAAGAAAAACACCAAAAACAGTTTGTGAAACGGAATGATCTCTCTTACACAACAACAAAATGTGGAGGAGTGTAATGCTCCTCCGCTTTTTTCCTCCAATGTAATTACTCCTCCACCCTGTTTTAAATATATACTATTTCATAATACAGGGAACTCACTCCTCCACGTCTCTTCTAAAAACCTCGCAACATGTTCACGCGTTAGGAGTCTAGGGGGTAGGGGGGCAGCTATTGAAAAAGATGACAAGGAAGTGGGTGACTTGGCAAAGATGGCGCTTTTGACACATCCCTCACAACCCCCCCACAACTTCCACACCTAATTCACCCAACACCTACTACCTCAATGGTTCCACCTCACACATTAAACTTTGCTATAGGGTACATACGCTAGACATCGAAACTGCCCATAAACTTGCTTCTTTCCTCGAAGCCAAATTTAGCCTCAAAAACACAACAGAAATTCCGAGACCGGTTCATGCGCACAAGCGCTCTGCTTGTCCTTGCCAACTCTGAAGTTGCGCAGTAGAAGCGCCTGTGCTTCTTCCATGGAGGCTATCCGCTGCCCTGCTACACACATCTGGAGAAGTCTAAGGAGTTCTTGATCCGGCCGGTGAAGATTTGTCCACTTGTCATGACGGTTTCAAACCGAATCCAGAAGGCCAGCCGCATAGGCGCAGCAATCCTATCGCGATTGGGAATGACTCCCGGGTGCGTGAGCTTTAGATCAGTAAGACTGACTTGCCCTTTGGGGAGTTGACAATGCAGCCAATGCCAACAGTTGTGTTTGCAACTGCCCATCCAGCGTGCTGAGCCTTCCACGCCACGTACGTGATGCGCAGGGATTGCTGAAGCATGTCGAGCTCTGTGGCAGCTGGCTTCCTGGTGTTTGTCCGGGTCAGCGGTGGCAATCAAAGCTGCTAGCACCCCTTTTGGCATTGCTATGGCACCCAGTCTTGCTGTGTTCTGGCAGGTCGGCCACAGGCAGCGAATTGCCAAGGCAATCACTGCTCTTATGACTAGAACTAGTCCCTCACATGAACCCATAAACTTCTTGAACCCTGGCTACTGAATGCAGCACGCGGAAACGCAAAGGCCGTCAGGGTAAATCGTAAATATGTTCATAACTGAATCATATATATAATTTCATAATTCAAACATTTCATATGTCTTTATTTATTAAATCTCACGGTCACTTTTCTCGTCAGGCGAACAGAGGAGGTTTCTGTTGAAACGCGCATTCACATAACGGATGCATACCGTTGTTTTTGCTGACCATGCATTTCTGGTCATTTAGTTCCCCCATTCGCTTCAGCATTCAGATTAGACCTAACAAGACCGTGAGACACTGCACATTTAGGTGTGACCACAACATAAGGCTTCAACCAAGACAACTCGCGGAGTGACCCGCGGCTGGGGTGGTCAGCGAGGTTTGAAGGAGACGGAACGCGGGCCAACCACAGCATGAACTGGTCCTCTTCTGGGTCCTCAATACACAAGAGCATGTCCCTCCACTCAGGCTCTATTGAAGTGCCTTTCACGAGGACATCGAGAGCTGGCCAATTGTCAACAAACAAGATCACCCTTGACGAAGTGATGCGAGGCTTCCAATGAAGCAAAGAGACAATCCCGGCATAAAGCTCAACAAGACCTATCACATGCGTCTTTCCCCCGGCTTGCCAACGACTCATGAGATCATCCGGCACAAAGCCACCAAAGACCTCAGGCCTGCCTCCTGGAGGAAAAGCGACCCCTCCTATGGTAGCAATTGCCTTTCCATCTTTGTACTCGAGGGCTCCATCCGAGAATATGATCCAAGGCTTTTCCACAACATCGGCCACGAACTTTCGCGGTTTCCCGCTGCACAATCTCCGCTTGAGAATGTCAAAGGACTGCAACTGGCAAGGGTCCAATTGCACACGCTGAGTGGAAGTGTGACCCAACTCCCTCAACTGAGCCAAGGCCAAACGGCCTGCCCTACCCCAAACCTGAGCGTCGGCATATTGCAGCTTACCCAAAATACTCGGAAGCTGAGAAGGAACAACACTTCCAGCACCGAGAATATCATTCAAGGCAACTGTCAAATCATCCACGCGAGAAGGTTTGTTGGTCACTCGGACAGCGCCCTTCGGTGTGTCAGCTAAGTCCACAACCACCCCCAACACTTCGGTTTGCTTACCGAAAGGGTTCAGCTTATCTTGGGCATAAGTGAAACCGAACAAAGACAACAATCCCTTTGCTGCCACCATCGTTGAAGAAGTGTTCTTCTGGTGCGTGACGATAGGGAAATCATCAAAGTAGTTGCTCCACAAAATTCCTAACTGACACCCAGCAGCGTGTAGAAAGGCACTAACCCTAAGGAAGTTGCGAACACTGCCTGCAGCCCCAAAAGGGAGAGTCTTAGTTACAAAGCACCGCACATCGTTGTGTTGATGGCTCCACAAAGACACAACAGCTTTCGCCTGGTCCTTAGGGTGCAAAGGAAGCTGTTTATAAGCAGATTTCAAATCAAGGGCCGTGATGAGAAATTCGGAGTCGCAAGAAAGCCAATCTTGGTGCACGTGACCTACAAGCCGCTCTCCTGTGGACAAGGTGTAGCTAAACTCCCCTCCACTCTTATACAAACGAACCAATGCAAGTACGGCCCAAATCAAGTAATCAAGAGCATACAGCGTTACCTTCTCTGCGCGCGAAAAGGTGTCGTTTACCTGATTTTCTTTAAAATCATCTATGGGTCTCAACTTCTCTTTTTGCAAAATTCCGAATCTGCGAACGGGCATCCACTTATCACCAACCACGTCGCTGACCTGAGTGGGGGTCAGTGGTCCCTGCAACCAGCGTTTGTTCGAAGCTTCTTCGACCGTCATCTCAAACAACTCACGCGAGAATTCGTCATCCCGTTGCGATCGGATTTTTCCTAACAAGGCCGGCCTCATGAAGTTAGTGTCCCTCATGAGTTGCTCTTCGCTCATGGAAGCAGCTTTCAAGCCTGTTTGAAAAATGTTCGACTTAGTGGCAAACCCGGAAATTCGAAAACCCTGAGACATTTCATCAAAGACGGCAAGGTCTGGCCATGCCATGCTCTGAGCCACCTTCTTCATCAGCATGATTCGTTTTTGTGTGAGCAACACTCTGGCATCAGGGTTCATGGGGTTTTTCAAGGCAATTTCATCACGCTGCAAATCTTTTGCCCAACTCGTCCACTCACTGAAGACACGTATTCTCTTCTTGACTAACTCTGCTGGAGATAAGGTCAAGTGATCGTACAGGCACTTCAACATGGAGTCAGGCATATGTACAGCCATGTCGAACGGGTGCCAAAGTGCAGTGGCCAACTTGACAAACTCTGCTTCAGTGTGATAAATGCCAGAAATGCACACGAACTTATCCCCCTTTTTCTCGGAACGCAAGAGCTTGCTACCTGCTGGCACGTGTTGGACTGCCTGGGTAACAAGGCTTTTGTCATTAACAGAGGGATGGTTCTTAGGAGCAAGGACACTACTTGTTTATACTCACCTACAAGCTGAGGCGTGGCCCTGCCTCTCGGTTGCCTATCAACCCTCGGCTGCTTGAGGCTCGCATCCTGGACTTGCCAACCTAATGATGCACATTCGCCGTCCAAAAACTTGACGAGTTGTTCACACATGGGACCTGGGTACTGTGCTTCCTGGGCCGCGGCGAACCTGCACTCCGATCGAATCCCCACGGGGCGTGGCTGTGTGGAGGAACCTCGTGGCAAAACCTTTGCATGATGGAGATGGTTTTTCTGTTGCTCTTATTTCTTATCCAGTAAAACCGCGTCGTCTATTAGATTAATGCGTGCGCGTGTCTGATGTTTGCTTGTGATGTGGTTTGCGTACGCTTAAAAGGTTACGCACAGAAACAACTGGTTTCAAAATTCACACAGCACCGCACGACACATTGAAAATGAAAAGTGACATACATCGCATCTCTCTTTTTCTCTTGCACTGGGGTCAAAGCTCTGTGTCACCCGACTGCTCTAACGGTGGGGCTAGGCCCGGCTCGAATGCATGGGAAAGCAGCCAAAAGAATTGGCCCATCATGGCAGAGAGCCTTGTTGGAGCTCGGAGACTATTCGAAAATGCAAGCGGTGGATGCGTGCATTTAGCAAAAGCTGGTATCGGAGTATATGGGCTCGAAAAGAGGCCGTAGCTAGAGCAGGGATATGTAAATCCCCCAAACTGTCTTCAACTTCATCAAGCGCGAACAGCAGTTCGGAGAGCATAAAATGAGCTCGACTATGACGACGAAGTTGCTCAAAAAGAGTTTGGATGCATACGTTCATATCTCAAAAGGGGGCGGGAAACGTCGCAAGACGAAGGGCGGGCTATCCCAGCTCCTTTGGAGCTAAGCAAGGAGGGTTCCCACCCACCCACACCTTAAACCGAAAAATTCGGACATCCGAAATTAGAACATGTTCAGTCGGAACATGTACAGACAGCATGTTTCCCGTCTGAACGTTTCTGTTAAACAATTACAAAATTTATTGCGCATAACCTTTTTCTTAAAAGAGAAAAAGGTTTTTCGAAACATGTCAGACACAACAAGACGCGCACAAAATCTCCAAACAACGCTAGCTTTCAAATAAACATTTGAAAGCTTTTTACTGTCGAAGAAATAAGGTGCTTATCACTACACGTAGTGAGACATCACTTATTTCTTATCCAGTAAAACCGCGTCGTCTATTAGATTAATACGTGCGCGTGTCTGATGTTTGCTTGTGATGTGGTTTGCGTACGCTTAAAAGGTTACGCACAGAAACAACTGGTTTCAAAATTCACACAGCACCGCACGACACATTGAAAATGAAAAGTGACATACATCGCATCTCTCTTTTTCTCTTGCACTGGGGTCAAAGCTCTGTGTCACCCGACTGCTCTCCCCGGTCACTTAGTGACACAGAGCAATCACAGCATCCATGTCCAGCAACGAACGAGACGCTCCAATCGACTCCAAAGAATCGTATTTCAGCCTGCTCGGTTCGTCAGCTATATTGGACTCCGTTGCCACTCGAGCGAACCAAACTTTGACTTGCAAAGAGAGTTCTAGCGATGCAAAAGCGTTCACGATCCGATTTCCAAATTGGGTTGACGACGATGCCTTAATCAAGCTAAACCTGGCGGCATCATTGTCTAAGTAAAAGACTGTCTGCCTCCCTTTCACCGTGTCGCCCCACAGCCACAGGGCTGCCAGCGCAGGGAAGAGTTCCAACTCGTAAATTGGATTCTTGGAATAGCCGAGTGCATCCATCAACGATTGCGGCGCCACTCCCCCAAAATATGAGATGATTTTGCCCGATGGTGCCACGAGCACCCCTCCAACCGAGCCTTGCTTCTGTGGTTCACCTTCACAGGCCCCATCTGTGAAGATCGTCCAAGACTCCATGGTTGTCGGTGTAACCAGCAGCGGAGGGGCTGATAGCACTCGATCACGCAAGAAGGTGAGCAGCTGACGATCCTCATTCGAAAGAAAACATTTGCTTCTCTCCCGTTTGGTGAAGTCGCCCAGGCGAGCGATGGCTTGGTTGGCCACCCTTCCAAATGCAAAACTTTCGAACCAATGGAGCCGCCCCCTCAACGACTCGGATTGCTTGCTAGTAATGAAACCTGCATCAAGAAAGTCTTTGAGCAAAGCAGAGAGTTCTTCTACCCTGTCCGGGGTGTGCGAAATACCAATGATACCTTTGTCACACAGTCCCAGATTGATTTCGACTCCCAAACTTTTGAGCTTCTTTGCAAAGCCAGTCGCCTTGCTGCCCTCCCTAGCAAAAACCAGGCCTATGAGGTCAAACAAAGCTTCAACAGTCTTGCTTGTGTTTTCACACAAAACCCTCGGCGAGAAAACAGTGTAATCATCGAAGTATGCTGTCCAGGCCAGATCGAGCTGTGTGATACCAATGAACCACACAGCCATTGAAATGCGCAGGAACCCACAGACAGATCCCACTGCTCCAAAGGGAAGGCTGTTAAGCCCCATGAAACTGACTCTCTTATCGTCTGTGTTTGCTACTGCAATACGAACGAAGTCACGGTCGTCCTCACAAACCCCGAATTGCTTATAGGCCGATTTGAGATCATAGGTGCGACCCAACAGATCAATAGCGCTGCCCGTTTCTCTTGCGCGCTGCAAGAACCACGCTAGGTATGCAACCATCTCATCCAAGCAGTGAATCCTAAATTTTTCCACCACCCCAATAGTCTTGTTGAGCCCACCAATGGTGCAGTCGTCAATCATGCGAATTTTCTCTTTTTGCACCAAACCAAACCTCTTGGCTAGGCAGCTCCATTTGTCATTGGCATGGTCCTCCCAAATGTAGCCAGCATCCACTTCTTCTTTGGTCAGCTCCCAGGTTTTCTTCACTATGTCGTCTTCGAAACCTGAAGATTGCAATTGAGAAATGATGCTTTTGTTCAGACCTTTGGCCAGCTTCCGCAATGTTTCAACTGAGAACTGCGGCCGCTTGGTGTGCCTCGGGAAAATTCCAGTTTGATTCAACCAACCTGTGAGTTTGAAGCCATGTGAAATGTCGGCCACTAGCTTCGCGTCGGGGAAACCGCAATCTTCCAGCATCTCTTCAAAAAGTTTCAAGCGTTTGGCCGCTAACAACTTGGAAAGGTGAAGAGGCATGTTCTGCTTCAATGCGGCTTCTTGCTCTCGCAACTCTTCTGCCCTGGTCGTCCACTTCTTAAAGAAACGAACTCTTTTCAAAGCAATCTTGTGTGGGTTTGAAAATAAATTGGCTTCCAGCACTCTTGTAACCTCACTGCTCAAATGAATTGCCATCGAACGAGGGTGTCCAACTTCCACTGCTTTCTCGACAAAGTCCATTGGCTCTCTCGGAACTCCACACGTGGTAGCTCCAAAACTATAGCTTCCAGATTCCCCTTTCAACTGGTCTTCCAAAATTCGTTTTGCAGAAACCGTAAAGAAAAATCCATGGAATTTGTCCGAGTCATTGAACTTGTCGTGCTCGGCCCGCAACTCCACCCCCGTCATCATGCGCCGAGCTTGGGGTTTGCAGCCTTTGGGAAGTCCAGCGACTTGTAACGGGTCCTCGTGCGGGAGGTGGATGACAAGGATGTAATGTTGGTAGCAAGAAACCAAAGGTTTATAGCGCTTGCCACGAGGCAGCATATCCAGCAAGAACCGATGCATCGGTGTAGATGGCACTTGGTCTGGAAGTGTACCCGGATTGGTCGCGCCAAAAGCTAAAGCTTTGTCCAGAAGCACTTGGGCAAGGCGTTCACAGAGGAGGATGGGATACGCCGCCTCTTCAGCGGTAGGGTACACCAACCTGCCGTTCTGTTTGACCGGGCGCCACGAAGCGTGCACGTGTTGGTCATCACAGAGCACTGCCAGCGAATGGAACCAAGCATGCAGGGCCCACCAACGTGTAGATTTCTTTCGAGCACCGCCATGACAGCAGTTGTCAAAAATGACGTCATACCCTGGTTTGTCCAACATTAACTGCATGATCGATGGGAATTGCCAAAAGAGACTATTGGTCGGTTTTTCCAATGAGCATTGAATGTTGTATTGGGCAGCGTGCCGGATCAATGTCGCTGTGTTGTCGTAGACAATGTTGGCTTGCTCTGTTCGAAGTTTGTCCAAACCCTGCAAGCCTGGAAGTCCATATATATGTTGCAACGACCTCAAAGGTTTGGCCACTTTGTAGCCCGCTGCTTCCAGGTTGGGTAACGGCCGATTCCTAGCTTGGGAAGCCGTCCCACAAGCAGGAGCACAATGGACCCAAGTGATGCGATCATGGTTTGCAGAAATGAACTCCAGCACCTGGTTGAATTCATCTGCAGCTGTAAAGTCGTGCAAACAAATATGGATTTGGCTACTTCTTTCAGCAGTTTTGTCAATCGGCGTGACTTGGAATCCTGCATCTCGGACGACTTTGGAGAGCCTCGCTGTACCTGCAAAAACCTCCATGAAAATAAGTTGTGAAACATCGACCCCTGCAAAATCTCTGCGTTCTGTGTGAAAAGCATCTTGTTCTGCTTCATGGGTGAAAACTTCTGCATCTGCCACACGTTTTAAACGAGTGGAAGGGTGTCCTTTCTCTCGAAACTGTGATGATGGTTCATCTCGCTCTGAACGTGGGCGAGATTCAAAGGCATCCTCTGTCTCAAGAGCATGGTGAAACACGTTTGGCTTCTCCCCTCATGCGCTTGCAGCTCGACAAGACGTCAAGCTGTGGCCAACTCGGTGGCATTTGATGCATTTGTGCATGCCTTTGCGACAACGATGATTGCTGACCTGTTCTGAGCATCCAGCC